CATTCATCAATCATCTTATACTTATACTCCGCAACAAAACGGAGTAGCTGAACGGAAAAATCGTTATCTCCTGGAAGTTTGTCGTGCCCTTTTATTTCATATGCATGTTCCTAAACGATTTTAGAGTGATGCTGTTCTTACGGCATGTCATCTTATTAATCGAATGCCCTCATCAGTGTTAAAAGGTAAATCTCCTCATTCTATTCTATTTCCAGACTCCGTATCGTTTAATCTGACTCCGTGGGTCTTTGGATGTGTGTGTTATGTCCATAACCTAGACAAACTCTACCCTCGTGCCACTAAGTGTGTTTTTCTTGGGCATTCTCACACTCAGAAGGGCTATCATTGTTACAGTCCTTATTTTCAACGCTATTTCACTAGTGCTGATGTCACATTTTCTGAGTCTCTCCCATATTTTTTTGATTCTACTACTACTATTGATATTACTTCTAAGCCACCTATGCCAACGGTTCCATCACAGTTTCCTGCTTCTGCACCTCCTTGCTCTGCTATCCCATTGCAGGTTTATACTCGACGACCTTGACCGCCTACTTCGCTCCCTCCATCTCCTCAGAGTCTTCGGATCTGACGCCTTTACCTGATGATTTGCCTATTGCTCTCCGTGAAGGTATTCGGTCGTGTGTTACTGCACATCCCATTTCTAAATTTGTCTCCTACCGTCATATTTCATCCTCTTTATCTTATTTTTTATCCAAAATATCTGCTACTTTTGTTCCCAAGACTTTGCAGGATGCTCTCTCTGATTTGGGTTGGCGACAAGCCATGGTAGATGAAATGGATGCCCTTCAACATAATGGAACATGGGATCTTGTTCCCTTACCTCCGAGTTCCAAAACGGTTGGTTGGAAGTGGGTCTACATTGTTAAATACCTTCACGATGGGTCTATTGAGCGGTTGAAGGCTCGTCTAGTGGCAAAGGGGTACACTCAGACTTATGGTGTTGATTATGATGAGACTTTTTCCCCTGTTGCTAAGATTTCTTCTATTTGGGTTCTTATTTCCATTGCTGCCAACTGTAACTGGCTGTTGTTTCAATTGGATGTCAAAAATGCCTTCTTACATGGTGACCTGGTTGAAGAAGTTTATATGGAGCAACCACCTAGGTTTGTTGCTCAGGGGGAGTATTGTCACACTGTTTGTCGCCTTACAAAGGCACTGTATGGATTGAAACAATCTCAACGGGCTTGATTTGGAAAATTCTTTGAGGCGGCATTAGAATTTGGTCTTAACAGATGCTAGACCGATCATTTGGTATTTCACCTGCACACTAAAGCTGGCTTCATTTTTCTTGTGGTGTATGCAGATGATATTGTGATCACAAGTGATGCACAGGCATTGCTACGTTGAAGTTGTTTCTGCAAAATCGATTCCACACTAAAGACTTGGGTAAACTTAGGTACTTCTTGGGTATTGAAGTTGCTAGATCCAAGGAGGGTATAAGTTTATCTCAACGAAAATATGTGTTGGACTTGCTAGAAGAAACAGGTATGTTAGGTGGTCGTTCGGTTGATGCTCCTATGGATTCAAATACAAAACTTGTGTCGATGAGGGTGATCTATTTAATGACCCGGGCAAATTTCATCGCCTTGTTGAGAAATTAATTTATCTCACTATCACTCGACTTGATATTTCATATGCAGTTATTGTTGTAAGTCAGTTCATCGGAGCTCCTAGAATGCCACATTGGATTACTATTCTTCGGATTATTCGATATCTCAAGCAAGCTTCAGGTTTTGGGTTACTATACAAATCAAATGGTCATCTTAGGGTGGAAGGTTTTACAGATGCTAACTGGGCTGGTTCTCCTTCAGATAGGAGATCTACTACAGGCTACTGCACATTTGTAGGAGGAAATCTTGTTACATGGAAAAGTAAAAAGCAAACGGTGGTAGCTCGATCTAGTGTTGAAGTTGAGTACAGGGCAATGGCCCATACCACTAGTGAGTTGACATGGATACAACATTTTATAAAAGAACTTGGGTTAACAGTTGAAGCTCCTACTCCATTGTTCTGTGATAACCAAGCAGCCGTTCACATTGCATCAAATCTTGTGTTTCATGAGAGAGCCAAACATATTGAGGTTGATTGTCACTTCATTCGGGAAAAAATATTAAGTGGGAGCATCTCTACTCCATTTGTGAAGTCTGAAGATCAACTAGTTGATATGTTTACCAAAGCACTGGGTCATAACCGGTTAAGGACTATCTATTCCAAGCTGGGATTATTTGATATATATTCTCCAGCTTGAGGGGAAGTGTTAGAATGTTTATTTGGGTCATTATGTAATTACCCATAGTAGTTAGGATTATTGTGTAATTAAGCAAATATTGTGTAATTAGGGAATAACCCTTTGTCCTTTATATAAGCCTCATTTGGGCTGAAGAGAAGATACAAGATATACACAGATTTCTCTCTCTGTCTCTCTGTCTCTCTCTCTCATGAATCTGAACAAGGAGAAAAGTGCCTTCACAGGGAGGCATCCACCATTACCTCCTTAGTTTTCCATTAAGTTTGGATTAGGTTATCAATTTTCCTTTGTCTAGATCTTTGGGGTTTTCAAAGGCCCCACTACTAAGTTTATTGTCTCTGACTCTCCATGTTGGATCATGCCTGAGGTTTTCTTACAGGATTATCTTTTTGCTTCCTAATTGAAGCCACTTTTGGCTTTAGGGTGGAAACTAAGATAATGCCAAACTCAATAGGAGGCTCAAATCAGATTCTTTGAAAACTTTTAATGTGGTAGTTATCAGCTGCTATTATCCATTTATATTGCGAAGACGAGATTATGATTAGTATTCTGTGTCGGTCTTAATTTCTTCTGTATGCCGAGTATCCAGTGTTGCAAAATTAAACAGAAAATAAGGAAAAACAAATCAAATACACACAACAAGAACACAAATATTTTTTCTTAGTTCACCCAAAACTAGGATTACAATTTACGTCCGAGGGTTGCAGGTATTTCATTATGATGATAAAAAAAATGGCACCAATACAGAGAGTTCAAAATGAATAAATATCCTCACACTAGGGCAACATAACAAGTGCGGAAATTACCAAAATACATCCAAAAATTCGGGTCGGGGGCAAGCCTCCGAACCTCCACCTTCTGGTAGGGGGGCTCTTCCCCTTGTCGCCAACTTACCGCAAAGTTGAATCCGTGGAGTTGGGCTTGGTGTACAATATATATCAGGCTCCACACTACCCATCAATCTCCTACTTGGAGACTGATAACATTAAACTATCAACTCCTCCATACCTCCATACAAAGCAAAACTCCAGAGCAACTCACTCCATTATCCTCAAAAGCTTGAACACCAACTGAAGTTAAACGTAGCTTCAGTTTCTCAATTGGCACTTCCTTGCTTAACATGTCTACTAGATTCTGACTTCAGTGTTAAAACTTGTTCAGATGGTTGTATCACCGTATCTAATATAACTTGTTAGACGCAATGGGTTTCTGATACATATTTGAAATGACAGCCATTAAACCTGTTGTTGTCATCTCCTTCGCTATGTTGGAGGCAACGTTGCGCAATAGTAGTGCCTGCTGATCCTCTTTTGGTTTCTTTCTAGAAAGAGACTGATACAGCTTCTTCTGATATAGATAATCCTTAATTTGCATTTTTGAGAACCCAAAATCAGCATCATTGAACTTGTCGATTTTGATCTTTCCTTCTTCTTTACCCATCGCTCCCATTCGAACCTAATGGCTCTGATACTAGTTGTTGCGAAATTAAAGAAAAATAGACCAAACACACAAAAAATATCCGATTTTACACATAGTGAAGACTTTCGCCAGATCTTCACCGTGGGCTGGATCTTCACCGTGGATGTAGACTTCGCTGAACCACGTATAAATCTTTGTGTTCTTTGTGTGTGATGTTTACTTTTCTGTCATGTTTCGTAATTGTTGCTTGGGTTCGCTGCGCTTGGCGTAACAATTTTTGTTAACTTATATAATTATATTCAATGTATATGTGTATCTACCCAATATACATGTAAAGATATGTATATAGAGAGAAATTTAAGCGATTTTTTTTTTTTTTTTATATTGATTGTTTAGTTTGTTTAGATTTACTGTACTTGCTCTTTTCGATTTATTTATGATTGATTGTTTAGTTTAAAACAAGTCACTAAGCATATATGTGAGTTTGACTTTAGAAGCATGCCAAGTTTCTCTGCTTGTTTGTAATTTATTTCATTACCAGTCTTCCCAAGAATTTGATGATCAATTCAAGTCACAGAACCCTAATTTCTGGAAAAAAAAAATGAAAGAGTATTCAGTTGAGGAACTGCAGTGTTAAGTTTTATTCCAAAGATATATTTTTCTTTTAGATTTTGAAGGTTTTACGATTTCAAATTTAATTAAATACTGAATTATTTTAAATATTGTGTTTGTACATATTCATAATATAGATACATATTATGAATAATAATTATTGTTTTCTTCTAAAATTTTTGTGATCTCATCTAAAATTAATGTGAATAAATATGGGCTTAGTGTGCAACCTCACATTTATAGGAAAATCACTAGTCCAAGTGCATGTAGTGCGAATCTAGTTTTGGTACTTAGATACATATTTTGAATAATCTATGTCATATCTTAAGGAATTTGTTTTCTTAGTAAAACCCACCAAATTTTAAAGATGATATGTAGAACATTTTTGCTTACTCCTACATTCTTCGGCTAATTGTCTTAACAAGTAAATGGCTTCCACCATGGATCTCCCCGACATAAATCCAAATTGGTTATTGGGCACAGTGGATTACTTCCTTAATCTTTTGCTCTATCACCCTTGCCTATAGTTTTATTGCATGACGTTAATTCAATGCCTCTGTAGTTATTGCAATTTTGCATATCCCCTTTGTTTTGTCATTCTCTTCCTCCACTCATTTGGCATTCTTCCTCCTTTTAATTTTTGTTATTCAAAGTATGACATTCTAAATTAGCTGATTGACTATGTTGACCGTTTACTTAGGGGTGGAGAAAGGTTCTAAAGACCCAAAGCTACAGAAAGTGGGGATGGTCACAATTGACCAGTTGCGTGCAATTGCAACAGAGAAGTTACCAGACTTGAATTGTTCGAGCATTGAATCAGCAATGAGAATTATAGCAGGCACTGCTGCTAACATGGGTATCGATGTTGACCCTCCTATTCTTGAACCTAAAAAAAAGGAACTTGTGTAATCATTTTAGTTCATCCTCAGAAATTGACTGCAGCTGTATCTTGAAGCATTTTTCTGAAAGAAACGTGTTAGTATTGTGCTGTAATATTCTGTGTCCGGTTTTGCCATCGGGGTTGTGGTTTTCTAACAGTGACAGTTTGTTCCAGAGAGTTTCACTATATGCTTGATCGTGTATTTTGTGTGTGTGAGAGAGACGGTTCAAACAACCACCATTAACTAATTGTCCTCTTGGGAGTTAACCGTAGGGTTTCTTTGTATTGAATGCTGTCTTTCATTTTTACAGTTTTCTTACAAGAGATTTTCATCCTGACTTAGATTCAAAGGTGATTTTTCAAAGAAAATCTGATTCAAAAGGTTATTTAATTTTCCTTGTTTAAAAAAGTCTTATTTGTTTACGCGTATTGCAACTGAGAACAGTCATGATCTACTTCAGCATGTCTTCGCCTGGAAAGGAAGAAGAGGTGATTGAAGATTTGGTCGGAGGTGTAAAAAAGGTATGTGAACTCAAAGAGTGCTTAGAAAGGTTATGACTGAAAAGTAGGGATCACAATTTTCTTCATCACGTCAGGTTTTCGTCCCGCCCCACCCACTCGGCCTCTAAGGAGTGAATTTGGTAGCCCTTAATTGGGTTTGGGACGGGTATAGATTTACTAATGAACCCGTTCTGTCCTAGCTCCGATTATATATGTAGTTTTGTACCTTTAAAAAATTTATATATGTTTAATATTTTTAAAAGGGTCAAGTGCAAAAAACACTCTTGAAGTATATTTACAGTGCATATCACACTCCTCACGTGCAAAAAATACTCCTTAAGTTTCAATTTGGTGCAATTAGGTTCCTCCGACATATTTAAATATAAATTGACCAAATTACCCTTATTGAATAATTTTATAAAATATATAAAAATAATTTTTTTTTGTAAAAAGACCAAAAAGGACACTACATGCTGACTTGCTCAACTTTGTCACCCTCATGTTTTCCGGCCATTTGGGCGTGCTGGAGCTTGCCGGAGCAACATCGAAATTCAAGGCCTCGCTTATGGGATCATGGTACCTGTACCTACCTCTTTCATTAAACAAACTTTTTGTGTACTTTGGTTTGCTGCTCACAGGGTGCAGTTTTGTTCAAATAGGAAATTAATTTAACTCAATTTAAGCAGCATTTACTTATTTATTTTGTTGTCTACGAAGGGTAAAGTAATCAAACAGGACTTGCCCAAAAAAAACAAAAAAGTAATCAAACAGGGATCAAACCCTACCCTCCTCTTTGAGGAAGGGGTGATTATACAGCCAAAGGTTCTTTGATAAACATGATTAACGTTGTATTAGTTCATGTTTAATTTACAGTAGGGCATGGCAAGTGCTGTTCAAACTATTTGTGGGCAGTCATATGGAGTGAGAAAATATGATACAATGGGTGTGATTTGCCACAGAGCAATTGTGCCCCACATTGGGACGGGAGAGTAAGATTGTAGTGAAGAGGGTGATTGCATGGGCATTTTGGAAAAAATAAAAGGGTAAAATGGACATTACAATACTAATTTATGTCAGATTTTTGACAGAGGGGTAATTTTGCATTATATCAAAAAATTAAAAGTGTTTATTGCACACTTTTTCAAATAGGGGGTAAAAGTAATACGAAAAGTATGCTTCAAGGATGTTTTCTACACTTTCTCCATTTTTTAAACGATTCATATTTTGCATTTTAGTTAACATATTAAATATTCACTACTTAATACTTTAAAAGGTGAGTCAATTTATTTATCAGCTTAATTTGTATATATTGGGTTAGTTTTATTTTACTAAATAATAAAGGTAACATAACTCGCCCCGCTCCACAATTAAACAGAGTACGTGGAGCGAAATCGATACTTTGTCTATCAGAGTAGGAGCAAAAATAATATATTTTGTCCGTTAAGGTAGTAGCGAAGATGGTGTATTAATTAAAAACTCGGTCTGAAATAAAAATGGAGTTGATATGACAATTTTTTATCGGGATGTATGATGAATTTTCTAACGAAGTATAATTGATATGAGGAATCTTTTAACCGGACGAATTATAGTTAGCCAAACTTACCCCAAGTTATGGTGCCATCCTACTAAAAAGTAATACTTTTGGTCTGAAAAGATTGTTATCCCAAATTCGTCCAATAAAGACAACTTTAGTGGAAATCTTGCCATCCAATTCTTTCATGTGGCTGAGGGGACAACAATGCAATTAAAACGTGAAGGGGATAACATATTATCCGATGCAGCATGAGTAATGATTTGGCAAAGAACTGCCACTGCGTCGAACAAATATCATCAGTTGCCCTGATTGTGTTGTTGACTATTCCCAACAAAATAATGCACTTATCAGACTCTTTTAGTGGTTTTAACGCAACAAAGAATATGAAAAATGTGACGCAAGAGGAACCACATTGTAAAAAAAGTCGTGTGTGGAAATAATATGTGTGAGTCGCAATAGCTTTGTCCCTTCTTCGCTAATTGCTTTGAGTTATTTAGTTAAGCCCATGACACACTCCTACAATGTTTGATTAAAAGTTGGGTAAATTACAATGACTTCCTCTAAAGTTTGGTCTAATTATATAATAAATTTGAGGGTTTGTAATTTTTTTTGCTGCGCCTTCCTCTCTTCCTTCAATTCAAATTAATTTCTCCCAAATCAAAATATCAAAACTTAACCCTAATTCTCGATTACGTGCAATACTTTGGCAATTTCAAAATCTAAGCATAATTCTCACTTACAATATTTTGCCGATCAATCAATTTCAAAACACATAATCAATGACTATTTTGCAATAAGAGTTTCTTGCCATGGAGTTGCACATATTGTTGACAACCTTTTTGGTAAATTTTGTATTAATGACATGGCAACCAATTTGGATATAAATTGACACGTGAAAAAGGTTACGAAAGCTACATTAAGAGGCAAAGGAGATTGAAGCATTTGAATTATTTAATGGATAGGGATTATAATTTTAGTATTTATCTTTTAGTTGATGTAAGTTAAATATTTATATTTATCTTTAGGATTAGTTTATTTTATACTTATAGTTAGTTGGGTTATCTATAGGATTAGTTTATTTTAAATTTATAGTTAATTGTAATAGAGTTGTAATGCAAGTAAAATACTTGCATATAGGATCGAGTTTGTTTCTATGTTTTATTATATATATAATCAAAGAGGCATGCTGAGATAGAGGTCCAGCACCCTCAGAATCCTTTAATTTATTTTTTTGCTTTCTCAAGCACTTTCCCCAAATAGCATCCTTGCTATCTCTATCTCTCCCCATCTCTATTTCAGTCTCGTTCTATTTCTTTCCCTATATCTCTGTCTCTCTATCTCTTCTCCTTATCACTTTCTATATCTAATTTTTCTCCCCTTACTATTCTCTCAATTATTACCATATATTATTCACTGATAAAGTCCTTTTAATTAAGACAATTAGAACTCAAAAAGGAATTATATTTGTTTTCTTTCTCCTCGCATCGTCTGAAAGTCAACCTTCTCAAAGGGATTAACGTTGACTGTTTACAATCAAACCACACAAGTGGTTCTGGCACGCCCGTTTTACATCAAATTAAGATCGGCTCTAACCGGCCGATTTTAGTGTCAACATTTTTGGCACGCTCGGTGGGACCTCACTAGGTGAGTGATTTATAGTAAAAATATGCTGTCGACTTCTCAACCGACATACAAATATTCTGATCAGTCAAATCAGCCGATGTACCAATATTCAAATCAGCCATACAGTTGGCCAGACAATATCAGCAATCAGTCACTGATTATCGGCATGTTCTAGAAGTCGCTGATTATCGTCATGTTCCAGAAGTCGCTGATTATCGGTAAAAACCGATAGTTAATAATCGGCATGTTCCAACAGAAGTCGATTATCGGCAGACGCCAACAACCGCTGATTATCGGCATATTCCAACAGTCACCGATTATCAGCAAGTTTCAGCAGCCGATTATTGGCATGTTCCAACAGTCGATTATCAGCAAGTACCAATAGTCAATTATCAGCAGACGCCAACATTCGATTATCGGCAGACGCCAGCAACTGATTATCGGCAAGTGGTAAATCAACATGTTACCCCCGTATCACAATCTTCGGTACTCGGGGGGCAACCGATGGCCAATCAGCAAGAAAGTTGGCTAGAATTTAAGCAGAGGATGAAAACACTAATGACTCAAACACAACGCCCACCAGTTATGCCAATTCCCCCTCAAAGAAAACATCAAGAAATGGGGGAGATTGATCAAGAGATTAAAGAATTGATAGCTTGGCTTATCCAGGCTAAGGTAGCTCAAGGGCGTAAACGTGCTCAGCCTATGTATAGGAAATCTTATCCTGACCAAGTGGTAAATCATCATGTCACCCCTGTATCACAACCTTTGTTACATGAGGGGCTGTTGATAACCAGTACCAAAATTGGACAGTCTTGCCGACCTCGGTAGGAAATTTTACCAAAAAATCAGCAGCAAAGTTTGCCAGAATATTATCAGTTACCGACTGCCAATTATCGGCAAGTTTCAGCAGCCAATTATTGGCAAGTTTCAGCAGCTGATTATCGGTAGGCGGTAAATCAGTCACAACAGATGACTTATCAACAACAAAGTTGGAAAAGCTATCAGCATGTTATTGATGAATGGTACCAGAATTCTTTGCCGATTGTGACATTTAATAATCGGCAAAAACAATCATCAGATGAAAGAATTGTTTTAACTCGCTGTCCTCAGCCCAATTTCAAGAAAAGAAGAAAAAAACTAACCGATGTTAATTTCAAAAGGTTACTTAGAGCTCAGTTGAGAAAATCGGCTGAGACAAAATTGGTTGAAAGAAAATTGGCTGAGGCAAAATCGGCTGAAAGAAAATCGGCTGAGGCAAAATCGGCTAAAAGAAAATTGGCTGAAAAACTAGCAACTGCCGGGGGGCATGTGATTGCAAACCCCCAACAAAAGTTAGTCGATCCATATGCTCCATTTCAGCCTGTCGATTATAGTGAGGTCATGTTTGCCGATCAGCGGACTTTTGGACATGATGTAGTCCTGCCGATTAAGCCGAATGTAAAATTGGCAAAGGTTATTCTACAACATATCTCGACTCCTGCCGATTATGGTGAGGTCATGCTTGCTGATAAATGGACTTTTGGGCATGATATAGTCTTGCCGATGGAGCTGAATGCGAAATCGGCAGAAAGGAAATCAGCTAAGAAAACTTCATCCTGGCACAATGTCATAGAGATAATAGGCAGATCGGCTAGAATGACGCTTCACAACAATTTAATCCCTGCCGATCATGAT